GATAAGGTTCAAGAATTGTTTTAACTTGTCTGATAACATCTGCAAGAGACCCGCGGTCCATGTACTCTAACACAAGAGAGATAGCCCCATTGTGATAGAATGAGTGGTAGCAAATGACGACATGGGGACACTGGGAGGCTTGGTTTATTTTCAGCTCCTGTACAATCTGTTTACGAATTTCCTCTTGTATGTTCATTTGTATAACCTGTAAGTAAGCACATCATTATTGCATCAGAATTCTTTGCTTGCTACTACTACTAACTTATGAACATTCCAACAAGGAAAGAAGGGCACCCAATCATTTGAAGTTAATAGGTAGACAAAATTAGCTAAATCACCCAACAGAGAAAGTTCAGCAGTGACCTTCAAGGCAAACAAAGTCCCAACCCATTTATGGCGAACGAGTTGCACAACCCCTCCGCTTCCCTTCCCAATCACTTTGATCGCTTCTAGATCTTCCTTTGAGAACTCAAAGTTAAGCTCCTTGCTCTCTGATGACTGTCAAGAATAAGAGTTTAGGCAAGTCAATAAACAGTGAACGTATGCAGACGCAAAGACAGCAACTACTATAAGCCATTGCTGAGACAATGGAGGTAATCTGAGACAGCAACTAACACTTCTGATTGCAGAATCAAAACTGCCAATCAAACTCCTTGGATGAAGAAGAACACACAAAATTCAAAAATCACACACTGAGACAGATATATCGACTTGAAAAATCACTCTGATTTGTCACTCGGCCCAATCCTTGTACATCAATGCAATTGAGCAATCGAACCAAGATCACAACGAAGTTCCAGTTACCTGCGATTCCTTCTCTTCCGAGATGAGCCGCAAGCCTTTCTGATTCAACCGCAAGTCTCCGTCGTGAAACGTTCCACTCGCTGTGCTGATACAGTTCAAGTCACGCCATCAACACTCAAAATCAATTACTATGATCAATACTCAGGAGGCCAAACCACAGTTCTAAGTTCCTCAAGCAATTTGGAGTAAACAGAAGGAGGAATCGCGCGCGGAACTTACAGGAAAGACGAGATTGGAGTTTCCTGAACGGGAACGGAGAGCTTCAGCTCCTGCAATGGCTTCTTGATTTTCATGATCTTTCGCTTTCTTCCGCTGCACACAGCCTTCGTTTTCTAGGGTCTCTTACACAGAGAGAGAGAGAGAGGGACTAGTGTGCGAGAGAGAGAGAGAGAGACTCTTTATCGTTTTGCGAAAAGGACGGGAGCGAAGAAGAACGACCCAGAGTTCGGCGTTACGTTTAAAAAATTATATATTTCTAACGTCAATTTTTTTTTCAAACCAGAAAGACCGCGCATCAATTTTCAAAATATAATTATTATTTTAAGCTTTCCTGTCTTCTACGCCAAAATTACAAGTGGCTGTTTGATTTCAAGTTTTCAACCTCTGTCGGGCTTCAGATCTGGGCTTATAGCCAGGCCTGCCCAGAAGACTATCACTTTCTGGACTGGGACGTTATGGGCCCATATCCGATTGTTTGCTTTATCTGCCCATTTTCTGTGGGCCTTTGCATTGATTTGATCGGGCCGGGTAAAAGTGGTATGGGGGGAGTAACAGAAAGAAACAGACATCCCAATTCTCGGAATTGAGGCATATTTATTTCTCCTAACATTATTTAATAAAAAAATGGAAATTTCATATTTTATTTATTGGGAAAAAACAAATTTTTAATCGGGAAAAAGGAAGAAAGAAGTTTCAGAAATCTGGTCCGACCCCTGTTCTCTGTCTCTCTGACTTAAACAAGCCCACCACACCATTACCACACTCTACACTCTGCTCCCTCCCACTCTCATTACTCTCTGCTGCCTGCTTCCTTCTCTCGAGCTCCGAGAGAGAGAGAGAGAGAGAGAGAGAGCCCTTTTCGCATATACCAATATAGCAAGAAAGAAAGAGAAAGAGGGAAATAGAGACGTTAGTCTGTGTCTCCTCCTCCACCGTACGATTCGCTTTGGAAACCATAATAAGGAGCTCGAGAGTGAGTGAATTGCAACTTGCTGGGGCGCTTCAACAGAGATAGAGAAGAAGAAACACAGAGCAATCAGCAGATACAGAGCGGGAGTGAAGAAAGAAGCAGCAGTAATGGCGAGTAAGGGAGGAGGAGAAGAAGAAGGATTCAAGCTAGTTGTCGCTGTTTCTCTGCTGCTGTTTTCGCTTCCGGGTAAATGCCCTCTATCTCTTACTCATTCCAATGTCGGTGGCAGGAATATGTTCTCCCCCAAATCGATTTCTTTGCTTGCAAGCACCCATTTTTGTTCTGTTTATTCCTATGCCTTTCCCTTTAGTTTTCCAAACCCAGGTCCCGTATTTTGACGAGAATATAATCTGATGGCCCTTGTCATCCCTGTATTTTCTACCTTGCAAATCCATGGATGTGTGTGATTGTGGAATACTCGAGACTTTCCGTTTGGTGGGTTTGTGGACAGCTGGGTTGCAGTATTAAGAAATAATGTGGTCTAGATTTTTGTTTTCTACTTGTGATTATTCTATTTGACCACTGCTTTGACAGCCTAATACTGCTCCCATTACCATTACACTGACTTGAGCCCACCTCTGATTTTGTCCCAACTCTTGAAATGCTGGCTGTTAGATGATATACTAATCACTTCCAAAAGCATGGTTGTCACGTCACCATGTGTTGCTCTGGTTAAATAGGTTGGTAAAATGTTTGTACTCTGTATCTTCAATGCATTTGAGTCATGTAATTGTAATTGCTATACTAAGGAAAGTTAAGACTCATCCAGCTGTGAAACCCCTTTATTCCACATTGAAATCAGCACTCTGGAAGTTAAGACTCATCCAAGTTCTCCATTTGCAGTTATGTGTAGAGGAAGCATAGTGGGTGTTTGTTACGGAAGAAATGCCGACGATCTTCCAACGCCTGATAAAGCCGTGGACCTCATTCAGCAGCATAACATCAAGTACGCGAGGATATACGATGCCAACATCCAAGTTCTCAAGGCATTCGCCAACACTGGGATCGAGCTCATGATCGGGATATCAAACTCTGACTTGCTCCCTTTCTCCCAGTTCCAATCCAATGCCGATACGTGGCTCAAGAACAACATTCTCCCATACTACCCCGCCACAAAGATCACATACATCACAGTTGGTGCAGAAGTCACTGAAGCACCGAGCAATGAATCAGCTCTGGTTGTACCCGCGATGCACAACATCCTCACGTCACTGAAAAAGCTCGGCTTGCACAAGAAGATTAAGGTTTCAACCACGCATTCCCTCGGCGTCTTGTCTCGTTCTTTCCCACCTTCAGCTGGTGCCTTCAGCAGCAAGCATGCGTTCTTCCTTAAACCTTTACTGGAGTTCCTTGCCGATAACCAATCCCCTTTCATGATTGACATCTACCCTTACTATGCATTCAGAGATTCACCAAACAATGTGTCCTTGGATTATGCCTTGTTCCAGTCCTCCTCTGAAGTTATTGACCCGAACACTGGCTTGCTCTATACCAACATGTTCGATGCCCAAATAGATGCTCTCTATTTCGCATTGATGGCCCTCAACTTCAGAACAATCAAGGTTATGGTGACTGAGACAGGGTGGCCATCGAAAGGTTCGCCTAAGGAGACAGCTGCAACTCCTGATAATGCCCAAATCTACAATGCCAACTTGATCCGACACGTGGTCAATGACACAGGGACTCCTGCCAAGCCAGGGGAGGCTGTGGATACATACATCTTCTCGCTGTTCAATGAGAACAGGAAGCCTGGGTTGGAGTCGGAGAGAAACTGGGGTCTGTTTTATCCTGATCAGACGAGTGTTTACAATCTGGATTTTAGTGGGAGAGGTGCTGTGGCAGGCATGCCATCGCCGAGCTCGAATGGGAGTGCCAGTGGTTTCAATGGGGCTACTAAGACTTGGTGCATTGCTTCCAGTAACGCAACACAGCTTGATTTGCAGAATGCAGTTGACTGGGCGTGTGGTACTGGAAACGTGGATTGCTCCCCTATTCAGCCGAGTCAGCCTTGTTTCCAGCCGGATAATCTGGCTTCTCATGCTTCTTATGCTTTCAATGCTTACTACCAGCAGAATGGAGCTACTGATATCGCTTGCACTTTTGGTGGCACCGGAATTAGAGTTGACAAGGATCCGAGTAATGCTACTACTCTCTCTGAATGTCAAAAACTTTACTTTTCACAATCCGTGTTTGGCTTTTGAATGCTGTGCATTTTCTAAACAATAGACGACTGGTCTACTTTGTTTTGCAGGCTATGATAACTGCTTGTATATGACAGCGGGGTAAGTTTCTTGCAGCGAAAGAAACTCCAGTCCTTATTCTAGGCAGCCTAATTCTGGTAAATCTAGTTCTAGTTCTAGTCTAGTCTAACACATGCTGCGGTTTTTGTTCTCGACATCAGGAGCAACAAAACTGGAGCTGGTAACACAACAGCTATGACATCATCATCCTCTAAAACATCATCGTCGTCGTCACGGAGTCTGTCTAGGAAGTGGGCCTACAGCTTGATTATTGCAATTCTTCTTCGGCTTCTGTGTTGAAGGTAAATGTAAGCATAGATAGAAGGCGTGTGTGCAACTGAAGGAAGAGATTCTTTGTTTTTGTAACCAGTACTGTAGGGGGCTGGTTTGTAGGACCATGGAAGGAAAAAGACCTCTAGCCTGTAAAGCTCGATCTTGTGGTTCGACGGCCTCAATGGTGTTGTATGATATTGTTTGTACCGACTTGCTCGGGACACGAACAATGATATTTGTTGGTGTGGGGTTGACTCACGATCCGTTCGTCCGATCTCGTCGGGAGAGAAGAAACCTGTGAAAGAGCAGGGGTTGCCCCCCCGGATTAAGCTCAGCGGAGCAAGTCAGTGTATGTTTGTGGAGAGAGTTGAGAGAACAGATAGAGAAATGAAGTGTAGAGAGAGATAGTAGAAAGTGGAAAATTAGGAGAGAGAGAGAGTCCCTTTCTTTGGAGGGCTTCAAGCTTATATACCTGTAGCGGGTATCGAGTGTTCCCCAATGTCGATTGCGCGCCCTCCTACTTAGTCTGAATCGGAGTATTTCAGTAACACCCCTAACAATTGCCCCCCAAGCTGGTGGTGAGTTTTAACTCATCGCTAGCTTGTTATTTTTTTTCAAAAAATCTTCATCAATAATTTTGGATGGAACCCTGTGTACCCCAGTTGCCCCCCAGCTGGTGGCGCGTTTGACTGACGCAGTGCCAGCTTCTTACGTCTTGCCCCCCATTAACGCTCAGGAAAGTAAAATATTTCAATATTTAATAATGATAGAGGGGTAGAGTACTTAGCTTTATGTTGGCGAAGCGGCGCGAAGAGTTGTTAAAATAAGAGTGCTGCGCCAATGAATCACAAAGCGCGCATGTAGCCTGCTGGTGATGTTGCTTGTCTCGCGGAGGAGTGACGCTAGTTCGATTACTGGCGACGACCACATTATTTTTAAATGGGTCCGCGCCTGTTGAATGCGGAGCGCGAGCTGGGCCGCTTGAAGTGCGGGCCGCGTGTTGTACAGTGCGCTTGGACGCGGGCCAAGTTGCAGTGCGCTTGGACGCGGGCCAAGTTGCAGTGCGCTTGGACGCGGGCTCAGTATGCCGCGGGTTTGGTCGGATGGGGCGGACTTGGATCCGCGAGTGCGGGCCGCGACTTGGGCTCCATCTACGCTAGGAAGCTGAGCGGGCTTTGGACTTGGGCCGCGAGCCTTGAGTGGATTGATGGGCGGAACACGTGAAGAGGACCTTGTCGTGGTGGGCAGAATGCGTTGAGCGAATCTTGCGGCGCGATGATTGAGTTGATGGGACCGGTGGCGGCGAGCAGTTTCAAAATAGAAGTGACGCGCGCCATATTTCAAATGTGGGGTGTGCTAGTTGCGCGGGACGCGAGTTGATAATTTTGTGCTCCGTCGTACTGAGTGGGCGCGAATAGTTCATGACTACTGCTATTTTTTGTTCTGTCGAACTGAGTGGGCGCGAATAGTTCATGACTATTGCTATTTTTTGTTCCGTGGAACTGAGTGGGCGCGAATAGTTCATGACTATTGCTATTTTTTGTTCCGTGGAACTGAGTGGGCGCGAATAGTTCATGACTATTGCTATTTTTTGCTCTGTGGAACTGAGTGGGCGCGAGTAGTTAAAAATCAGACGCCGCGCCATTGAAACACACGGTCCGCATGTAGCCTTCTGGTGATGTTGCTTGTCTAGCGGAGGAGTGGCGCAGGTTCGAGGACTGGCGGTGACTACGTTTTTTTTGGAGAGTTCCGTGTCTGTTGATCGCGGGCCGCGAGTTGGGCCGCCTACAGTGCGGGCCGCGAGTGTTGAGGCGGGCGCGCGGGACGCGTCTTGGGCTTGGCAATCCGCGAGTTAAGCGGATCGGAATCGAGGACTTGGGCCGCGAGAGGTAAGGTGGGCCGCTAGCGGAAGCTTGGGCCTGCTTTGCACGCGCGGAAGGCCTGAGCGGGCTTTGTGTGAGGTTACACGCGGAGTGTTGTTAAAATGAGAGTATTGCGTCAAAGAATCACAAGTCGCGATGCGGGCTGGAAGTGATGCGATGCGGGCCCTATAGTCGCGAGACTGTTGTTGGGCTGGAGGTGAAGCAGACCGCGAGTTATGTGTGGGCCCTGCGCCCGGGCGTGAGCCCATGTGACGTGTGTGGGTTGCAAGACGCGGTATTGCTCTGAAATGCCCATATGGCGCGCGTGGCCGCGAGTTTGGGGCAGACTGGATGGAGACGGGCCAATGTGATGGCGGAACTTACTAGTAGTAGTGCAGACTTCAAATAAAAGTGGCGCGCATTAATTAATAAGAAATTCTTCTGGTGTACTGGTCAGGCTGTTTGGACGTTGAACGAGTGTTGCGGGTTCGATTCACCACTGTTGTTTTTTGTTTTTCAAAAGTGTGTTGAAGGCTTGTAGCGGACTGGGTCCATTGAGGCGGATCGGGAGGCCCAACTGAGTTGATGCGGACCGGGCCCTTCGCTAGTGGGCTCATATGGACGCGCGGGACTGGCCGCGTTATGGATAGGAATTGAGCTCTTCCGTTTTTCGTCCTTGTTTCTTCCGCCTTCGGAGATATCTTTTTTTTTTCAAATCTCCTTCCTGTTTCACGAACATTTTCGCTCTCATCCAGAGTTCCTTCTCTCCTTTTTTTTTTAATTTCTTTTCTCAAGTTGAATCTTTTCTTCCGCCACCGCCGATGGTTTGAAGCGCGAGTCAATGGTGGACTCAGGCAAGCCGCGGTCGCGCGGCTGTTGATGAACGAGCGGTCGCAAGTTTTATTTGGTCTTGAAAGCAGGTCGGCACCGCGGATGGGTTGCGGAGGGGATCGAGGATCCAAGGCAGAGCTGATTTTCAGCGTGGAGTTAGTGATGGCGGCGAGGATGGCAGAGCTGATTTGGCCGCACTGGGCCTTGGCCATTTTCAGCTTGGTGTTCGGAGATGCTTGTCGCAATTTGAGTCGCGACTCTCCCCCTGCCTCGGGAACTGCATGCCTCGACATCTGTGTCCACCACTTTAGCGATAACGTGTTTTTTGGAGAAAAGTTGCAGACAGACGACGTGACAGCTGACGGGACAGCTCTGGCACCACTCTCAGCCGTAGAAATTTTGATCGGAAACCAGAGGTTCGGCGGGGGTAATGGAGACGAACGATGCTCAAACAATCAGTTGGAGGATATAGATCCGACTTTCTGTGGACTCTTCGTTTCCTTTCTTTTGTTTTTTGCTTGGGACTCGAATCCTCTTTGCGTCTCGCGCCCTTTGAAGATCAAACGAACGAGGTCGATGAATCTGCCCCACGGTGGGCGCCAATTGTTTGTACTGACTTGCTCAGGACACGAACAATGATATTTGTTGGTGTGGGGTTGACTCACGATCCGTTCGTCCGATCTCGTCAGGAGAGAAGAAACCTGTGAAAGAGCCGGGGTTGCCCCCCGGATTAAGCTCCGACGATCAAGTCATTGTATGTTTGTGGAGAGAGTTGAGAGAACAGATAGAGAGATGAAGTGTAGAGAGAGATAGTAGAAAGTGGAAAATCAGGAGAGAGAAAGTCCCTTTCTTTGGAGGGCTTCAAGCCCTTATATACCTGTAGCGGGTATCGAGTGTTCCCCATTGTCGATTGTGCGCCCTCCTACTTAGTCTGAATCGGAGTATTTCAGTAACACCCCCAACAGATATAATAATGATATTGATGTATTGATGTTAGCTTTAGGAGGGAGGATGGTATGCACTATGCAATGCAACGACGAATCCATCTCTTGTTCCCCTTTGATGATATCCTTCACCCAGCTCTTTCTGGCTGGCTTTCGGATAAGGATAGTAAAGCGTTTCTCGCGGATTCAATTGCGGCATAATGTGCAGAAAATCTCAACACTAAATAAATGGTCATCGGAGGATTAAACCGAAATCAGATCAATCTTTAGGCGAAGTTGATAATTTTGCAACAATGTTCCTAGTACCGCCCGCCAAATTATCATTCGCAATTTGCAAGACAATCCCGTCACTAGTAGGGATGACAATTTCAATCTGACCCGTTTTACTCGACCTGTTTTGGGTCGGGTCCGACCCGCCCTGTAGGAGGGGCGGGGCGGGTATTGGTACTCTCATCGACCCGTCCCATTCTCGACTCGTTCTTGCCTAAATTACATGTAATTTTAGTCAAATTACTTAGGATTTTTCTTTTATTACATCAACTTTTAGCTATAATAAAGTTATAAATTAGCAAAAACCTCAATTTCTCCACTAATTTAACTATATTTATCATAATATTGTTTGTTTTCTAGGTCTTATAATAACAATAACGAAAATTTCTAATCTTTTTCATACAAATTGCATACCTATTGGGTCGCCCTGCCCCGACTCATGACCCGTGATAAATTACCCGACCTGCTATAGGCGGGTCTGGGTACTGAGAAACCCGGCCGGGACCTACCCCATTGCCATTCCTAGTCACTAGGAAGATGGGGCGTTACTTGTAAGACAATCCACCCCACCGTGCGTCGCTGCGACTGACGATAACGTAAAAGAATAGACATTCTGAAAAGTCTTTGCTTTTACCCCACCGTCCAAACGCCGACCGACGGAGCCTGCGATTTGGGTATCACGTCCAAGTCCAAGTCTCCAGACAGAAACTACCTCCATTATCTCCGCCGGATTCGCTTCAGAAATATGCCAAACACAAGCGCACGAAGCCATACCGAACCAATACAACACTGACAATCAAAAACCGATCCCGTCATTTGATTCGCAAACCCCAAATGTAATTTAGACAATCATCATGACAATACCATCATCAAAATAGTACAAAGGAACAGAAATCCATCAAGATCCAAAGTAAACATCAATCAAACTCCCATTCTTTTTTTTCCTTTTCACACAGTGATCCACTTCATCTTAAGCTACTTAATAATGTCGGACAGTTTCGTATTAGATGCCCGGAGGATGGATATAAATAACAAAGAGAATGAAAGAAGGTGATTTAAAGACCCTGATCGATGAGATAATCCCCGAGCCTTTCCACTATAATGTTGCACTGCCCTGGAGACATTGGCTCGTCATAGATGCCGATGACCAATGCCAGACTGGTCTTCTTCACCGTCACTCCTCCAGCTCCCTGAAAATTTCAGCAAGGAAAAGCTTTAGCAGATGGATTAACATGAGATGAACTTTCAAATGTAAGATGCAATGTACAATCGCGCAGCAATGAACCCGCTTGATCGAAACGGACTACAATGCTATCAACCATCCAATAGAAAAAGGTAAGGTATGGTTCCAGAGAAGTAAAGAGTGTCAAGTAATTTCAAAAGTCAATGATCTCGAAATGGACTACCGGAAGCAAAACCCACAAAACCATTTGACAGATTTTAGAAAAGACTCCTACGAAACTAATGAAGGCGCAATAGAGATGCTACAAAGAGTTGATCATCACCTTCTTCCCTCGAATGACCGCTCCAGGCTCGCCTTGAATCACCATGTACTTTGTGCCTCCAAGGTACAACCCAGTGGGTGCAAGGGTACCAGGCTCATTGAAGTCATTCATGATACCAGTAATTTCCTCAGGCTTGAACTGATGAAACGGAACATCAAAAACAGATCAGCAAAACCTTCGATCCAATAAAGCCACAAGTAGCAGAGCGTCCCTCCAAGTCAATGAAAAGAAAGCACAGAAATGACTAATAGTGTAAAGCAAAATCCCACAAGACCCAGTACAATCTAAACCCTCCCAAACCAAGAGAGATCCGCGAGCTCAATACCCAGATCGAGAAACATTAAGCTCAGGACACGAAAATATAAACTTGAAGAGAACCCAATTCAAATGAAGCGAAGGTCAAGCAGGATCCCCCGGCTTTCTCGTCTCGCGCACACCCAATCAGTTGCAATCAGGAATCAGATCACGGGAGCAAGAACAGCAACACGACCCCAAATCCAACGAATCAAACTTGTGTGAATCAGAATCGAAGCAAAGGGAAGTAAAAGAAAACCTGAGGGAAGGTGGCGCTCTGGGCCCAGACGCTGCCGTCGTGGCCGATGATGGCTGCGGCGGAAAGGTGGTTGCCCTCGATTTCGCACATGAGATGGTCATCGACGTAGGTCTGCCACGACATCTTGGCGGAGCTCTGCTTGGCGGAGAACTAGGAAGAAGGTTCTGGACCTGGGTTGAGAGCTGAAAAGGGGCGTGGTTTGGGGCGCTGAAGGTGGGCGTTTGGCCTTAAGAGGAAAGAGGGTAGCACGAGATTTAGAGAGAGAGAGAGAGAGAGAGAGAGAGAGAGAAGGGGTTGGTTTCTGTGTATTTTCTTATCTGTGAAGACAGCAGAGACTGGGCGCACATATTGCGTTGAATCGACGGGACCCCTTATATACTACTCTCGACCGAGTAATCTTTTTTAATTTGCGGTATTAGTAAGTCACATGAATTTCACTTCTTATCTTATAAATTAATAATAATATTTTAGTTATGTTTAAATAATTTTTAAAATTTTAATTATTTATATTTTCACAATTTATTTTTTAAGAATAAATTTTTGGTATTTTGAGATAGGCTTATGGAATCGTAACCAAGTAACTGTCGATTTTTTTTACAACTAGTAACAGTAGATTTCAGACTAACATTAAGGGGTCGTTTGGAAGTTGCGATTGTTTTGTTGAGATTGTAATTATACATGTATTGTTTACAATGCATCGTTTTTTTGTTTTTGTTTTTTTAGCGGAAACAATACATGGATTGTTTCTATGATGTGACAGAAAGTATCACTCATTTTGAGTGATTGTTATATCCCAACTTTTAGTTGTGATTGTTGAGATAGTTGAGATAGTTGAGATTGTTTTGTCTCAGCTTTTAGCTGATGCGACATACACAATCACACATACCAAACGTTATATTCTACAATGCATCAAATTCGACAATACATGTATAATATTATACATGCATTCTCAACAATACATCTATTTAACAATCGCAACTTCCAAACCACCCCTAAACATTCAATCAATAATTTTTAGTCTTAAACTGAAATGACCATACATTATAGAAACCTCCTATTTCCTAGTTCCTACTTCACATTAAAACTACCGATCATACCAAATCCTCTAAAAAATCAATCAGAGAAAGACAACCACATTCACACCGCTATATGTAATGTACATATGTAATATGCTCACATCACAAGTCACAATACTTACGACATTGATAAGTATAAAGCAAGATAGGTATCCAAAGGCTACACTTAGACTCTTGGCATGAATTACCTGACACTTTTTCTCTAATTGTTAAGATGACAACAAGTCAACAACTGTCAAGGTACTCCTATAACCAATAATCGGTTCCTAATATATATAATTAGATGTAAACATATCGTTTTTACATTAAAGAAGAAGTGTATATGGTTAATATCATTCTCTCTATGTCGTGGTACTTCTATAACCAATAATCGGTTCCTAAAATAATTAGATGTAAGCATATTATTCTTAAGCGATGAAAACAAAGTATGCATACTAACAAAGTCCTTTTATAGCTCAAAACAGGTCAGTAGATAGTGGTTTGCAAAATTACACTCTACACACATTAGTCATGGTTATGTGCTTTTCCAGAACTTATTACTCACTCTTCGCCAAAGAAAATTGATACCCATTTTACATCAATTTTCACGAACGTGAATGACATCATCCTCACACGTATTCGTTCAGAATTTCATATGGTAAAAATCCCTTAGATCAACATTTCATCATAAAAGTTATTAGTGAACTCAAATACTTTCAAGGAATTAAGGGCCATTTGAAACTTTCGTATGGACAAAATGTCTCATATATTTTTTTTTTAGCAAACGAGTCATTTGACATCAAATCACTCAATTGAATCATTTAGTACCAAATGACTCAAGCAAACGACCCCTAAAGTAGTCAGAACTCTGAAACAAGATTTACGACTCCAAACCCAACTATAAACACTATCTACACAAGGTAGTCACTTGTCCATTGTCGAAGGAACCCCTCTAGATCATTTGGAATTTCTAGTTATATAAGTTATGCGGTAAATTTCAATACTTATGTCATGCATGACTAGATATATGTTACACAATCAATCAACTACGTTGGTTTATAGATGCGCTCCAACTTTTGTACATGAATTAGCTACACAAAAGCTATTTAGATACATTAAGACTTTTCCTGCTACATGGATGTTCTTTCCCAGCAATTCAAGTCTTCAACTCACAACTTTCTCATATTTTAGACTGAGCTGGATGTTCTGATACCTGAAGATCATTCACTCGCTTCTGTGTCTTTCTTGGAAATCCCCTCTTTAGTAAACGTTCCAAAAAATAATAAATTGTCTCTATGTACGTATTATCTGGGTTAATTGCATGATTGGTCATTGAGATTAAAAAAAACGTTCAAGTTTGGTCACTCGAAATATTTAAATCCATTGGTGGTACTTCGGTTTACTGAAACCGTTCACGTTTGGTCACTCTCCGTCCAACTCCGTTAACTTTGGCTGATGTGGCAGTCAACTCTCAAAGTTGACCGTTAACTTAGTGACGTGGCAATTAAGAAATAAAAAATAAAATAAAATTTAATCTATTTTAATGTCCAACTCATTTTTATCATAAAATAAAAATATTATAATTATTAATTACCAAATTAAAAACCCGACAGATCTGCCCAGCTTCTTCTGCACGACGAATCCAGATGACCCGATTTTCCGCTTGGTGATGAAATCTGCCGAGTCAGGCGCCAGAGCTTCGGTCGCGCTAGTTCACTCATTCGATGCCCTCGAGCCAAACGTCCTGGCTGCGCTCCACTCCATCTACCCTAACCTTGTATACCCAGTCAGACCCATAGAGATCCTCCTGAATCAAATCGGATCCATCCATCCGGCCCGGCCCTCGACGGTCGACGCAATCAGCTACAGCTTGTAGAAAGAAGACCTAAAGTGCCTCCGTTGGCTCAACACCAAACCGCCGAACTCTGTCATCTGAAAGAGTTTGAAGGATTTGATTTGTGAGAAAGATTCTTAGTTGTTTCTCATTGATGTTTCTGTTCACTGATATACAGATTTTTGGGAGAGAAAATAGGTGTACGCAGGCACTACCCACAAAAGTAGAAACCGTAAATGGTAGTGGGAGAATAAATAAAAGAATAATGGAAAATACAAAAACCAGAAATCAGTTAGCTCTAATACGCCCCCGCAAGATGGAGGAGGTATCAACGACGCCAATCTTGGATCTGAGAAGAAGGAAGCGGGTCGATGGTAACGGCTTGGTGAGAGCATCTGCTAACTGATGAGTGGTCGGAATGTAGGAGACATGAAGACGACCTGCCTGAACAAGTTGGCGAACGAAGTGGTAGTCAAGAGCAAGATGCTTCATGCGAGAATGGAAGACCGGGTTGGAGCTGAAATAAGTCGCGCCGAGATTGTCAGAGTATAGCTGAGGAGCTCCCGCCAGAGGTTGATGAAGCTCAGAAAGGAGGTTCTGCACCCATTCTACTTCCGCGGCAGCATTAGCAAGCGCCCGATATTCGGCCTCGGTGCTAGAGCGGGCAACAGTACGCTGTTTCTGAGAGCGCCAGGAAATGAGAGTAGTACCGAGGTAGATGAGATAGCCGGAAGTGGACGAGCGGTCATCGAGATTGCCGGCCCAATCGGCATCCGCAAAACCAGAAATAGACAAGGCACCCGGTGAGCGAGTGATGGAGAGACCATACGTAAGGGTGCCAGAGATATAGCGTAGGAGACGCTTAACACACTGCCAATGATGGGTAGTCGGAGCATGCATGTACTGGGAGAGTTTATTGACCGAGTAAGCAATATCGGGGCGTGTGTAGACCAAGTACTGAAGAGCACCAAGTACCTGGCGAAAGCGAGTGGCATCACTGGGAGGGCTCCCGTCAGTGAGTGTAAGAGAAGAAGATGCAGCCATAGGTGTGTCGGCGGGCGTGGCATCTGTCATCAAGAAACGATGAAGAATATCGACCATGTACTTATGTTGAGAAAGAATATATCCTGTCGTGGTGGGAATCACCTCAATACCAAGGAAATAGTTGACATCCCCGAGTGCCTTGAGAGAGAATCGAGCAGAGAGAGCCTGCTGAAAGGAGGCAAGTGTAGCAGAGTCGTTGCCGGTAAGCAATAAGTCATCAACATAAATCAAAAAGTATAAGAGAACCTTCCCATGAGAGTAGACAAAGAGAGAGGCATCGGAGTGAGTCCTCGTGAAGCCGAAGTCAAGGAGGAAGGTGCTCAAGGCAGTGTACCAGGCACGGGGAGCTTGACGGAGGCCATAGATGGCCTGACGGAGACGACAGACATGATGAGGACGGGAGGAGTCAACAAAGCCAGGGGGCTGTACCATGTAGACTTCCTCCTGTAGCGGGCCTTGAAGAAAGGCATTGTTGACATCAAATTGAGCAATAGGCCAGGACTGAGAGAGAGCCAGGGTGAAGACGGTGCGTACAGTAACGGGCTTGACAACAGGGCTGAACGTGTCGGTGAAATCTAGACCAGGGCGTTGATGATAGCCCTTGGCCACCAGGCGTGTCTTAAACCGAGAGATGGAGCCATCGGGGCGATGCTTGACACGATAAACCCAGCGGTTTCCGAGTATATGATAATGTGGCTGGCGGGGAACCAAATCCCAAGTGGAATTGGCTAGGAGTGCCGCATGTTCGGAGTGCAGGGCCGCATTCCATTCGGGGTAGCGCAGGGCCTCACGAACGGAAAGGGGCTCAAGTGGGGGAGGCCCACGAGCGAGCTGGGAAAGAAACAGTCGTTTCTTGGGCTTAAATATCCCAAGCTGAGCCCGAGTCCGCATAGGGTGAGACCGGACAGGAAGGGGAGGCGGCCCACTGGGATCGGGCGGCCCGGACGGTGGCGTGGAAGGGGCCACGATGGACTGGACCGGCGGAGGCGGCCCATGCGGAGCAGAGGGCCCAGATGAGGACGTGGCTGGGGCCGCGGGTGACTGAACAGGCCCAAGCGGGGCTGAAGGGGGCGGAGGCCCGTGTGAAGAAGATCTGGGCGCTGGGGGCGAGACTGAGGGGAAAGCAGCCGGCGGGCCTGGTGGGCCTGGGGAGGGTGGACTGGCAGGTGGCAGAGGCAAGGCAGCTGGCCGGATAGGAATAGTAGTGATGGTGGGAGTGGTATCCAGGAGCCAGGCAGCCACAGACGGGGCATCAACAGAGGCAGGGGAAAAACCTGGAAATTGCGACTCCACAAAGACAACATGTCGAGAAAAAAATAGGCGATGGGTATGAGGATCAAAACATTTGTAAGCACTCCGTTGAGGACAGTAGCCAAGAAAAATACACTGCCGAGACCGAGGATCAAGTTTGTGAGAGGAGTAGGGACGCAACCAGGGGTAGCATAAACACCCAAAAACACGAAGTTTGTGATAATTAGGAGAAAGATTGAAAAGAAGAGTGTAAGGAATTTTACCACGGAGAGTAGAGAAGGGTAGACGATTGATTAGATAAACAGCAGTGGAAAAA